ACCTTCAGTAAATCCACCGTCTTATGTTGAAACTTTACCTCCTGAGTCGACAACAACGACCACAACGACCTGCTAAGACCCAAGCAAACCAACAGTCACCAGCGCTGCAGCGGCGGCAGCTGTGATGGAGAACAGACCGACAGGGCCCTCAGATACCCCGCTGATCCGTGCTCCAGCTGCAGCGGGACACCGAGAGGTGACAGCCACCACCGCAGGACAAACAAGTTAACATCAAACTAAGTGACCGTCTCTGGCCGTCGGCTGTGAGTCACAGCCTCCGAGACGCTTCGGATCACAGTCCTTTTGGCGTTGTTTGAGAAGCAGTTCGGTCCTTTTGAATTCAAGTGTCTTCCTGTCACACCGCGTTTACCTCACGTTGTCATACAGCGGTGATGTCAGGCGCACAGCAGCCAGTACAACCAACAACCAACAGTTCTTCAAGTTTTTTCATTCTGCACAAGTTTGTCGGAATTAATTTGACCCTGACGTGTACTGATGTCCTGTAAGTTTTCCCATGTGAGTACACGTGTGTGTGTGAGTGTGTGTGTGTGAAGACACGCCATGACTTCCTGTCTCCAACAGGGTGTGTGTCAGTTTACATCTTGTTGTTGGTAGCTTTCTCTGCGTGGGTTTTTCACACCGCGGGTCGACTTTCCTAAAAATGTAAACATCTACAAACATGTACGCCAACATTAAGGATAAAAAAAGAAAAAGAAAAAAAAAAACCTTCTCTACAGACACGAAGAGTCCAGGCTGAAAATGTACATCGTGAAAAAACACAAATAAGTGACGCTCATCAACATTGTAAAATAATAATTGTAGAGTTCAGTTCAAGTGACCTTGGGTTTTTTTAAAAAAAAAACGCCGTAAAAATCCATGTTATATTATTATTATTATTCATTATTAAATTCAGCAGAAGTGGAAGAACATCTGACTTTGATAAAGGCCAAAAACCCTGAGTTTAGGTTCTCCGTACACGTCTGTTTCTGGCTGACATGTTAGCCGTTAGCATGTTATCTAGCAACGAGCAATATATTTAAAAATATAAGAGAGTTTTATGTTTTACTTTTACGCCAAACCTCAGATATGAACCCAGCAGCTGTCAACTCCTCTGTGGTTTTGAACAGCAGACTGGATGGACACAGTGTTCACTGCACGGCCATGTCAAGTCAGGGCAGAGTGAACCTTCATCTGAGCTCGGCTCTGATGACTGTAATGTGACTATAACGGCAGTTTATGGCCTGTTTGATTTGACCTGTTTTATAGAGTTGGGGGGAGAGAGGTGGGGGGGGGCAGGGGGATGTTGCTGTGCTTTATTTGAAGCTGCAAAATAAGCCCGGAGGC